ATGATATAGACCCTTAATCTAGGAAGTCCTGCAAACCCATCTTTGCTTTGCCCCTCGGACTTCGCCCAACCCCAAGAACACGTGAGAGCATGTGAAAATTTCGTCACGCGTGGTCGAGCGCCTGCTCGGCTTTACCAATCCAATCACAGCTGAGCGTTTTAAAACACTCTTGGAGAAGTGTGCTGAAGTACTTATTATATAATACTACAATTTCTTAAATAATCATTGAAGTGTGGTTTGGCCATGTATGCAGTTCACAAACAGTTCAACACAGGGGTGTTCTTCTGGTACAACTCCTACCCGATAGAGCAACCCTAGAGGCCCGGAATCCAAAGGAAAATCATCGATCACATGGCTGTGGACAAACACACCAAAGCACTCCAAAAATCGTTGGTGTTCGAGGTCTTCCTATTCAAGGTTCGGTCCAGCAGTGATCTGTGCGATCTTCCAAAATCGTACATGTAGAAGGATGGGGTCAGCTGATTCATGTGGTTAACACCACCAGGATGGTGCTTTCATGTAGTTTCTTGGCCAGACCGTGTCACAACTGAAGGCAAACCACTCGTAATTAGAAGTGTCTCTATTAATCTCTATTATACCATTACGAATAAATGTGTGCAGGCGGTCTGCGTCAGCTTGCAGGGCGCCCGTGCCTGCAGGAGATGCTGGGCGAACACCACTGGTCTTGTCCTATGCACAAAAAAGAATTGGCAACGAAACACACATGAAGTGAAACTACTCACATCATCTCACATAGTATATCCTCTGATTGCTCCTCAAAAAATGCATATCGATAATTTGCTCAACTCGTACTTTCTATGCTCGACTCTTCTTGTAGTCATCTTTGTTGGTGCGGTTGTGTCTGGTTCTCAAAAAAATGTGCCGTGGTTTGTTTATCCGCCAAAACCTGCCCAAGAATCTGGTAGCTCGCCCTGCTACTGAGACGCTCGCTCTCGCTATCTTTGCACCCCAGAAACAAGTTCTCCTTTGAGGCGTGGTGGAGTTGTCGGATGCATTGAACCGTAGAGCCGAGGGAGCGTCCGACGAGCCGTCACATCCCTGGTTCGTCACCCGCCTTGCATCAATCATCCTGGTTCGGAGGTTGATCTTCGCTTGCACTGGGTGTGTGGGGGGGTGACCTGTTCGCTTTGGTTCGCAAACATGACACTGTTTCACACAATGTGAAAAAAAAAGAACATCAGCCACGGCAGGCCACATGCACCGTAACTATAGACTAGACCTGCAAAATAGTGAATAGTGATCATCTTTTACCGTCGGTTACCAACTGTTGCTGGCAGAGGGATGGTGCCCTTTATAATCCTGTATACAGTACTGAATACAGTATATATTCCTATTTAAAAATAAAATGTATATAACACATCTTTGTATCCTTCAAAATATCGGTGAATATGTTCTGGTCCGTTCATTCGGTGTACATTGGTGGTTGAGCATCCGGCAGTGTACCCAGCTGAAAAACCAAGGAAGCCTCATGAAGAAAGCAACAAGGGTGGGTACCTGTAAGACAGTGTGGTCATCTCAAGATTGAGAAGGAAGGACCATACAACATCCCCACGGAAGGGATCACACAAAGGACATGATATACCTTGCATGATGACCGTGAAGACCGATGACCCCATAAATATGGAGTGGTTTCATGCAGTTTCTGTCATCAGGGCCGACTGAGTCATCTCCTCACAATGCACGCTACCATTGTCGGTTGACATACTCTTGTCGATAGCAAGTAGGACCCAAGTTGTGAATACCAACCAATTGTAGAATAGTTGCTTTAACAGGGTAAGCAACAACAAAAGCATATCATTTGAGCCTGTCTGGTGATCTTGTTCCCATAGTTCAGTGAATGATCTAAGGATCCTGCTTAAAGACTAGACTATGTGGCCATCAATCTAGAAAACCCTCCCAAAAATGTATCAGTTGTCTCCATGTAAGGCACCGTAAGCACGGTGAAAAGGTGAAACATGGGCGCGAACAATCACGGCCACTGGGGTCTCCGACCGCATCCCACAAGGCCTCCGCATACTGCACCGCCTGCGAACCAAGGAATGCCTTTGGGTTGGGCTACACCTCAAGGGACCTCTTGATGAACAAACTCACAGACTGCTGCTGGGGAGATAAGCCAAGCAATGGTCAAGCTTTTGCAGGGTTGACACTCCCACCCGTGTTCGAACTTCCAACATCTTGGAACACCAATCCTAGTGTTTCCGACTTTCCACTTCCTGTGCCCCCCCCTGACCGTCCCGAACGCACGAACGCAGTCGGATCCCACCTGGGAGAGGGGGATCGATCTCCGCAGCCGTGGGAAGGGCCGTTGAATCGCATCCAAACAATCCTCGACCATCCGTTGACCCTCCGTCGACCCGGATCCGGTCCGAATCCGTTGGGACTTCCGTTGGGATGGCAGAGTTTGGTCCGGCAAGGGTTTTTCGTCGTTTTCCTTTCAGCGCGGCTGTCGATGTCTTCGGTGTGGATGAAGGCTTGGGCCCAAAGTGCTGCGCAGCAGCGGTAAATTGATGAGCCCTGGTGCTTGAAAACGACCACGCTATGGAAATGCCTTGTATGTCAGTCGACACCATTGTCGACACCCTTTGCAAAGGCAGAATAGAGCCGATGTGCATTGAATCAGATTGTTCCACTGCACGAGCCATTTGGCCAACTTCCGCTTGAGGATAGCCTTCCTCCATGGTCTTGGGGCGGCAGCTGGCGGTGCACCCTATGACTGTTACCAGGAGAAACAGGTGGCAGTAGTCTGGGCTTGAGTGCCGATGACAGCCACCAGGAGAAACAGGTTGTAGCAGCAACGAGTTGCCATCCGCTACACTGCACTTCAGTGACCGGGGTCCTTACGTAAGCCCCGCAGCGTCACATTTGCAGCTTTTGGGCGTGGCTCGGGTCCAGTGCCCCTCAGGCCGTTTTGTTTTGTGATCCGCGTGGCATTGCGAACGGCGAATGCCACTTAAGGGCAGCTGCAGCTAGTGCATTGTCCATGGTTGTTTTTGTTTTTGATTAGAGGACCACTGCCCTTCGATGTCAGTGAGTCTTCCGTTTTGTGTTGCTATAGCGAGTTGGAGCTCAATTTGGGGCTTGTCTTCATTGAGTCTACATCCAGCCCTTCCCTGAGATCCTCATTTCGACACCAGGCAGCGCCACTTCTATTAGTGTCGATCCTAGGGTGCGATTAAACATCAGACCGGTTGTGAGCCGGCGGTGACTCTTGGAGCATGGACTCTCAAGGTCCAAAAGGTTCCAGCATTCTGAAGCGAGAGCACTCAACATCGAACTGTCAGCTCCATAAGTGATCAAGATGGTGCTGGACTCTGTGGGGCTGGATGATTGGTCGAAGGACACCCATGTGACCAGCTGATCTGTTGTATTGGAGGTCTGAGTGGAGTCTCCATAGTTTCCCGATTCCAAGACAAACCAAAAGGATAAAAATCACACCCTAGAAAGCCTGTCAATACGGTCAATAGAGTCGATATACGGTATGTCAATATAAGAAGCCAGTGATAGTAGCGCAAGAAGCTGCCGCAGCCGCCCATTGGCTGCAAGTCCCTGTTTTTCTTTGAGAGGACTGGGTCGCCGGTCAAAAATGGTGACCAGTTGGCCAAATCACCCAGGCTGCTTGGTCCACTCCCCACTCATCGACCGAAAAATCCCTGTCCTCCAGGTCTTCGGCCTCTCCTTCGCTAATTTCGCGAACAAAGCCTGGTGGGAAGAAGGACGGCGCGAGAAAGGACAGACAGGGTGAAAACGAAACAGCTGCAAAAAGAGAGCGGCATGGAGTAACTATTGGTCTAGTTTGGTGCACCGCACCGAGGATTACAGTGGATAGTGGATCATCAATTTGACAAGATCGAATTCAATGACCCAGTGCCAGGTCCTTTGGAGCCACCGTATGTCAAATTCTCCAGTTGTGAGAGGTCAGTGATATGACCCTCAGAGCACATCCTTGACACTGCCGACTCAACCTGTCATGATACTCTTCGGGCCTATCTCTGCTTGCCTGGCCAACTGTATAGTTCCAGGGTCCTGGCAGCAAACGTCTACAGTAGGTCGGTAGGAGGGCCGGCTCCACGTGCCACCCAGTTCGTAAAACCATCAGTGGCTGAACAAAAAGACAGGCACATGGGACGGCGGAGGAGCTCTCTGGAAAACTCCAAAAGATCACAAGATTCTCACAACCCCGCCAGCTATAGTTTTAGAACCAGTGTCTAGCTTCTGTCTAGCTTACTGACCTTTCTGCCACAATAGGTCCGAGGTGGCTTTAAAGATCTTTTAAGTGGTGGAACCCGGGGAGGGCGCGTTCAAAGATTTGGATTTAGGGAGCAGGGGACAACACTCAGGTGTTGTGAAGACACTAGCTTGGGTGGTCGCTTTGTGCACTGCCATGACGACTGACCGCAAGAACACCAACCAAGACAAGAAGTTGTGGCCAACCTCAACACTCGACCATCGAGCCATCGAGTACATACCCCAGCCATCACTTGGCGCCAGGAAACATAAACCCAGACATGTATATAAGTGGAACGCCCCCTGTCTGCAAAGGAAAAAGATCCATGCTTGTGGGTCGGATTGCACTGTAACTCTTGTGAGACGCATTCCTTGCCTCAAAGCTCTTGGGTTCTTCGGCCACAAGCTGTTCGGGTAGCCTCACAAATTGATGAGCGTCACTTGCGCCACGCAAGACGTTCGTTGATGACTCCCATGCCCTTGGGGAGCCATTAACAGCTGGACTAGAGATTCTGAACCACAAATCATGGCTGAGAACCTCGGTAGTAGCTAGAAGCTACTAGGGGCTCCTGGCCATACTACTAGGAGCAAGGACGCTACTAGTAACAAGTGCCACGCTAGTAGTAACAAGTGCCTTACTAGTAGTAACAAGAAGCTACTAGGGGCTCCTGGCCTTACTACTAGGAGCAAGAACGCTACGAGGGGCTGGGATTCTGTCGTCGCGATACGCTGCGGAGTCGCGCAGCCCATGTTTTACGACGCACGGCAGTGGCTCTGCAGTCGTCAAGTTGGGTCTATCCATTGAGGTCGAAGGGGCACAGCTGTTCTCCGAAGCGAACGTGTGGTAGGCCACCTGCCAAATGGTTGAGAAGCCGGTCTGACCAGGCAATTTGGGGCCGAAACAATGATATTCAACTGTCTGGTGACTATACAATTGGTGGGAACATGTGTGAACAGTAGAGAATGAGAGCATTTGGTCGACTCCCAAGTCACGCGATGGCAGGACATCCCCAACCTGCACGGTAGACGATGGTGTCAGGGCGATCAATCCCTTTGCCTTCCACATTGCAGCGCTCCCGGCAAACGTAGTCACTTTCGGCCACTTCCAAGCCGTCCTTCTTCAAGTCTCCTCAAGGGGTACAAAGATGCTCACATCGAATAGATCTTTTGAAAAGTAGCGTTACAATCCATCGTACGAATCATACACTGGTGAGGGGTTGGGAGCCCATGTCCTCTCTCCGGGGGAATTGTTGGAGACACAACTCCCGAGGATACTTGGTCACAGGATGTCACAGGCCACACACAGCGAGTATGGTTTTGTATCCCCACTTACTCTATCTTGCTATGCATGCTGCAGATATGACTTGTAACTGGGTTTGAATTACTCGGAAGGTCGCCAAGGAAGCTGGTTGTCCAGCGGTTTCGACTGCCTGGTGATTATATAAAGGCCTTTTGAACTGGCTGTGTTGCACCAGGCAACTCCTGGGTGAGTGCAACAAGCGTACTGGATTCGTGCCCCATGTCTCTAGACTGCTCCGACCATTTACGTCCCAACCCTGCACACCCGGAAGGGCTACGGCTACATCTCGGCGTCCTGGGGTCATGCGCTTGCCATTCATCCGGAACTCACCCTCCAGGATCTCACACTTCGTGTACTTCAGCGTCTCAGTTGAGCATGGGTGCCCAGGTGCACTTAATGGGTGCACTTATATATATATATACTGTATATATAATGATACGGAATGAGTCGACCATCTATCCTCTGGGTCTTTCTTTAGAACACTGCACACTTCAACTTCACGCCGTCCAATCCAAGCAGCTTGATCTCCAAACTCGTGAGATCCATCGCATTTGGCATGGCAACAATGGCCCTCACCTTTGAAGCAACCACTCTGCTCACCCTCTTTCTGCCGAATTGCCCCGGCCTCGGAAAAACGCCGTATCACACCGCACATGCAGTATTGCTGTGGCCACAGCTCAGCCAGCTCTCAAGGGTCAAAACCCAACACCCTAAGCCCTAAACGACTCTATCTCAGACCTAGCCGGGCCACTGGGAGCACCAGGGCCACGATTGAGATGAAGTGCGCAAACGACGGCATGGCTGGATGGCAATTGACGTCTCAAACAAAGAAATCACCCGCGTTCTGCTTGAGCCGAAACACCAGACTAGTGCGCAGGGTCTAGACTGTAACTCTGATGGGAATCATCCAGGTCACAAGGGCATCCCTTGAGCAAAAAAAATATTGATCTAGAACATGTTTACACAACGCAAAATCAATCAAAAAGATGCAAAACCTACGTGCCAGTCATCACATCCTGTATGATTGTGCCTGTATGATTCCAGGATGGGGCCCTTCACGTGCGCCACTCGAATAATCAAAAACCCGTCGGTTCAAGACTCTGAAACCGAAGCTGCCCACTTCCGCCGTCGGTGTTAAGAGACTCCTGCCAAGCTTGGTGGGTCTAGTAGTAAAAACAAACCCTATATATAGGATTCTACAAGCAACTCAATAGCAAGCACCTCTCAAAACTCTACTGGAGGGCGAACCCTCAACTATGTGCGGGAATGAGATAATGAAATCCCTGTAGTTGAGCTGGGGACTCCTCAACAGTTAGCAACCACGTGGAAAAGCACTGCGTTGCAATGTCACCAGCGCCCTCCCAAAAAACAACAAATAAGAATGAATGTGCGTTCCTCATAATAAGGAGATTGATATCATATCATCAATCTATGTTATAATCAGCACCTCCTGGCGTTCTTTCGGCCGCTAGGAACTTTGGAGGCGACCCGTCTGTGTCCTTGCTCCTAGTAGCGATGCCCTTGCTCCTAGTAGCTTCTTGTTCCTAGTAGTAAGGCCAGGAGCCCCTACAGTAGTAGCTTCTTTGCTCCTAGTAGCGATGCCAGGAGCCCCTAGTAGCGTCCTTGCTCCTAGTAAGCTCCAAGTCTTCCCAAGTTGTGCCTCAGCCACGCCGCCCGTAAGCTGATCCAGTACCTGACAACCGCCGGCTCCGAGCGCGGAAGACACGTTTGTCGAACACCGAAAGAGGCCAGAAAGGAGTGTCCATTCATGTCCATTCCACCGAAATAGTGGCTTTTGGTGGCTGTTGATGCTTAAACACAGTCACTGTTAACTGTTGTGGTTGTGCTTTATGATTGCGGGTTGATGTGGTTTGTGTGCTGCGTTTGTTTTTGCTCTTGTTGTATCTTGATGTTGTGGGTTGAGTTGTGGTTGAGTTGTCTTCATGTTATGTCCCGTGGAACCCCCCCCAAACAGGTCAAGGTTGACTACTGGACCTGCCCGCTCCCATGGGGTTCCGGCCTCGAAGCTTTCGGTGGGTCGGCTGACGCAGTCGAGTGAATTTGGAGCTTGAGAATCCAGCTTGAGCCATGGCCAGTTCACCTGGTAGAAAAAACCCTTATACTGGATTCTCAACCATCCATTTGGGGTGCCATGGCCATAGCTCAGTTCCATAGTATGTATGGCTCCAACGTGCCTGTCAAAACTATTGATCTTGGAACATTGCACCGGATTCGCCATCTGATCATAGGAAGCTTCGTACGGGGTGGCAAGGGGCTGTGGCACACTGGAAATCGTCTTGCAAAACTTTTCAACAAGACTCGATAAGAATCGGTCAAGCCCTATTCGTCGATATTGACACAACTTCAAAAAGCCTCAGTCAACCAGGATCGTTGATTGGGCACAAACCCCGGTTGCTGTAGATGCGTTGAAGGCCCAGTCAACACCGAAGCAAAACCGGCTTGACCAAAATACGGTCTCAGATATTGATGGTTCGGTGTTCCTTGTCGCTCTGGCCGGTCAAGAACTGAATCGGTGCCCCAAAACAGTCTGAAAAAACGCATGTGATCTTCACACAAGCCCCGAGAAGACCTTCAACGCCTTTGAAAAAAATGCCAGATCCATGCATTCAGCTCTTCAGCAAACATGCAAGGACAGTTTTCTCAAAGCTGGCCTAGGCTTCATTGACAAACATCAATGCTCAAGAGACTCTTGGGGTTTCTAAAAAGCCCATCTTCTAAGTGGGACCCAGGACCGCTTTCTCGTGTCTCAAGCCAAGTTGGTGCGTGTGGGCACTTGAGGCCGCAAAGTGGATGCCCCAAGCGTTGGCAGGTGCCACAGATCTTAGCGAAGTGTTGGCAGGGGCGCTTCGGTGTGGTTTCCGGAAAGAAAGGGGGCCAGTCTCAACAACCCGCCCAGCTTGGCTGCGCTGTCAGTTGTTTCTTATTTGGGGTATATTTTGCATACTCAGTTCTAGAGTTCTATTGTATATATATATATATTAATACAGTATATAAATCTTCTCTCTGGTCGGGAACCAATCCGCCAGTATGAGGTAAGGCAGCTCTAAGTCCACCTCCTGGTCTGCAGATGTCTGCGTCAGACCCAAAGAATGCAGTCTGAGGATCAATGGAGAGTTGTCATGGTGAATTCGGGGTCCAACACTTGAGAAGTTCATATTCCAATCCTTCAGGTGTCCAACTATCCTGCCCAAAATATGACACAATATATCACTAAATAACCAAACCTCAAAGGGTGCCAGATTGTTTATATATTATATAATACATATCCCTAAAGACCTCATTCTGGGTGTTTGTTTCGGTGGTCTCAACCCAAAACACGACGTACAAAAAATAATCACCAAAACCTCTGCCTGGTCCCCTGCGTGGGCCCGAAATCGGGCATCAACAAGGGGGATTGACAGTGAAATACAAAAGGACTTACTGAAATAACACTTCATAGCGCTTCATAGGATGCTTCATAGGATGTTCCTGTAAGTCTGGGATGTTCCACAACTCTTGTCTTATACTTCATTCCATTCAAGAGTTCTAAATTCCTACGCTACGCTGCCCGATCGGCCTGGTCGCATGATGTCGTGCATCTTGTGGCTTACGTGGAGCAAAGGCGGGTCACAAGAAGCATGAAGCCCTGTCGGCACCTGTAAGCTTTTGCAAATTCTCATCAGTATTGATGCCTGTTTTGGTGAACCTCAAGTGAATCCCCGGTTCCGGCATGTGATCAAGAATTCTTCTGGACACTCATCGGTGCCATTCCTCTCCGATTCGTTTCATCCTCACAACAGATTTTGTCACAACTCTCTGGTCAAACCAGCATTCTTCGGTTCGTGGCTGGCAGATTCGTCACCGGATCCCTCCTGCACTCTTCGATTCGTGTCAAACAAGAGACGATCAGACAGACCAAATGAGAACAGCAAATCAAACCCATCGGTGCAGGTGATTCCCTGACAGACTCCTGCAACCAAGTCAGAGAAACTGCTGCACGCTTCCAATAAATCGTTAAACAACAACATGTGCCTTCTGTTATCAAACGATATAATCTTCAGCAAATCGGCTCCGATGCCACAGTCAATGCATCATTGGGTCCACAAAATTGGTCCTCCCAACAGTAACACGTCCCGCCTGTCTTCGTCCCAAATCTCACGATATCTCAAAATATCCGTCGGGATATAAATCTTCATGTCTTCATCCCAACATCAAACAGGTTTGGTGCTCCTAAGCACTCTGCGCTCCTGCGCAGCTCCTCAGTGTTCATCTGAACTTAACTTTCTGTTTCACGAGAAAGCTCCGGTTGCACACGCGGCATGAAAAACACGCGGCCGTCCTTGCAGAGGCCCAGCAGCTGGCCTCCACCTGGCGAACCAGTCACTTGACACGAACAGATCTTCACCTCGATCGAGTGAAGCCCAGAAAACCAAACACCCTTACAACATGGAGCTTTGAAAGGGTGTCCGATGTCATACTTATCATGTCCTTTCTTTGGGGGCAACCATTCCATCAATTCTGAAATGACTCCAATCTGAGTGCTAGTTAGAGAAAAAAATGTGAACCGCAAATGTTGGCCACAATTGTTGGCCAGTTCCTACTTGATCATGCATCAATTCTTTTCAACAAACAAGTTGGAAACACAGGGTTCGCACAGCAATTTATTGTTTAAATGTTGATGGAGTGTTTTTATCTTTGATTCCCAATCCCATTCCACTATAATTTGATATATATATATATACACGTAATACAGTATAAGTATATTCCTTTAACATGCCTAATATAACTATAATATAGTATATGATTGCTCCTTTAACATGCCGATCTTCTTCCTCGCTAGGGACAGCCCATTTCCGTCGGGCATGGTCCGTCAGGTGCATCAGCCATCACTGGCAATTCAAGGCTCAGGTGTCTCATGGTGTCTCCTTTTGGGTGCCACATCTCAGACGAAATCCATAAGAGTTCCTAAATGTTGCTAAGCATCTACAGGAGACCTTACCTTCAACGAGGGCTGTGGCTGCCTGTGGCCTGAATTTTTTGGTCTTTTGGAGTCCACGAGCGGGATGGGGACGCCGAAATGGGCCGAGCCCACTCAAGATGTCTGAATACCTCAGCTAACCGAGGTCGGGGATATGAAAGCTTTTGCTGGGAGAAAGGCTTCCCCCCAGACTCACTCCTGAATGGATGCTTCATTCAGACACCTTGCCATAAGAGCTAAAGGCAACACAAAAAATGCCCTAGAACATTGGATGGAAAACAATCTGTGAAACGCCAGTGATCAAATCAAAAGAAAGCACCTTGGGGAGAAGGCTGCAGAACAACAACTAACAAAGCCAACCGCTGTGAAACGCTGGAAATCCAAAAGCAAACTCACACGCTCATACACAAAACCATATGCGCGCGGCCTCGCCAATACTTCTGCAATACTCTGCATTGCCTGGCCGTGGTTTTGCCATGCCCAGCATATCCCAGCATGCATTGTTCTCTCCAATGGCTGTGAGTCCATGTGATCCAGAAACCAGATCTAGATTGGCTTTGTCAAACCAAATTGGCAGTGTCACGGAATTCGGGGTTGGGAGTCATTTTTCATCAATTCCCAAGAGCCCCGTGATAAGGCCTTCTTCAGCTTCAGGACATTGGGGATCGGGGTGCTTTCAGTGGAGCTCAACAATAACAACAAACCGCTCGAGACCTCTCAAGTACAGTAAATGAACGTTCTATGTTAGAGACACGCATCATTGCCCATGATGGCACCAAGAACACTACGGGAAGTGGCCAACCCCCTTGATGGATGACTGGATAATGAGTCTATCTGCAGCGCAGGTGCTGAAGAAGGCTCATCTCCTCTTCATGCTGAAGGAATGCATAAGCAAGCATGAAGAAGTGAAGGAATGTTTTGGATTGGGCCCAGTGGCAAGCCACACCTGACCCCCAAACAAGCCTCAGACCTAAGACTGTGACATGTACACGTAGACCCAGTTGCAACCCAAGAACTCTTTCTCTCGCCCTATTTGTGACCTTGTCCTCTCTCTACAGCAGGATCCCATGTGAGCAGATGGCTCCAACATCAGACCTGTCTTCGTAAACAACTGGGTGTGGCTTCAAACGGAAAAGAAGAATCCATGCAGAAGAGGTCCCTGGGTATCGTTTTTGGAGTCAGATGACAGTCATAGCCATTTTGAGCTGAATTGAACTTCCTGGCTTGGTGCCACTGTCTTCAGGATTTGGTCATGGAG